CCCCCCGGCGGGGAAGGGATCTAAGGGAAGGGGCTTCCCGTCGACTCAATTACGACGTTGCTCAACTTCGCTTTGGTTGGCACGCTGAGGAGGTCCTTGGAAAAGAGGGAGCTTCGACGAGCCCAGGGAAAGGGGGAGGCAGGGAGAGGGGACAACAGGGACGACGACCAACGAATGACGGAGATGACAACTTGAACGGACAAGCCCCTCACACACGCCGACAGGGTCGGCGGATTTTCATTATCCGTATTCGTATGTATTCCCCCCTCAAACTTTCACTCCCAGGTGTTTTCTGGGCGCTAGTTCCGGCCAGAGTTTCGAGGCGGATCGAGCCGTGACCACGAAGGCGTCCCAGGAGGGCCAAACATTTTTGTTCGCCGGCGGCTGGGCAGAGGGACTGCGCTGGCGAGTAAAGCGAAGCGGGGCACGTTAGGCGAATTCAGCCACTATGCAGGAGGGAGGGGAAAGGACGACAAGGCGCCAGCCAGAGGAGGGGACCATGAGGAGCCGGGCCCGCTTGGAGCAGCCTGGGTGCGTGGCGGGGCCGGCGCCAGGGGGCCAGGGGCCAGCGGAGGCGGGGGGAGCTTGACCAGGTCAGCAGGGGGAAGGGTGCACGCGTACAGTCAAAGAAAGCCGAACCCCAAGGGAGGGGACGGCGTGGTCCGCGACAGCGGGCAAAGGGCGTGGGGGGAGGCACGGGCGGCAAGACCAGCCCGGGCGCCGAGGCAGGGAGGACACGCGACCCGGATGGGTCGCCGGGTCGGTGCGGGGGCGGGGAGGGCAGGCGCCTGGGCGTGCGGGGCAGCCTAGGCCAGACCAGTGCCAGGGACCTCCCACAGAGGCGAGTGGCGGAAGGGGCCAGGGGGAGAGCGAGCGCGGCTACTCACCCTTGCCACTGGGGTGGGGGGCGGACCCTAGAACCGGGGCAGGTGGAGGTGGGACGGGCGGCGAGCTGCGCCCACGGGAGCAAGGCAGCGGGGTCGCCGCAGCAGCCCGTCGGCGGGCCGCCCTGGCAAGCACTGGGCTGCAAGGAGCGGTCAGGATGAGCCGGCTGGCCGAAGGGGAGGGCCACGAAACGTTGTACTAGGTGTGCGGGACGCATGCGGACGGTAGCACTGGGACCTTCGGTGGGGCTCCCTATGGGGCCACGAAACGCTGTACTGGGTGTGCGGGACGCATGCGGACGGTAGCACTGGGACCTTCGGTGGAGCTCCCTATGGGTCCACGAAGCGCTGTACTAGGTGTGCGGGACGCATGCGGGCGGTAGCACTGGGACCTTCGGTGGGGCTCCCTATGGGGCCACGAAGCGCTGTACTGGGTGTGCTGGCCGCATGCGGACGGTAGCACTGGGACCTTCGGTGGGGCTCCCGATGGGGCCACGAAGCGCTGTACTGGGTGAGTGGAACGCAGGGAGGAGCGGGAGGAGGGCCACGAAACGCTGTACTGGGCGTGCGGGACGCATGCGGACGGTAGTACTCCCGGCAGGAGCGGGGGGGACGCCCGCCACAGCTACCCAGCCCGGGGGGGCAAGGGTAGGGGAGGAGGGGAGCACGGAAAAACATCGAATTGGTGCAAAGATGGTGGGGACGCGCGCGCCCAGCCCCGCGGAGGAGCGGGACCGCCGGCGCGGGGCACCGCGGGCGGGCCGCCCCCAGGGGGTTTGGGAGGCAGTGAATCGCTGCCGGGGGCAGGTGTGGCAGTGCCCCTGGGCGGGGCCCAGCGGCGCGTGGGGGGGGCCGCGGGCGGTGGCCCCGGGAGCCGGGGGTCGCGGCGGCTCGGTGCGGGAACACCGAAGCTTGTGCGGCGGAGAGTGTCTGTGTGACGAGGTGCAGAGTCGCGTGGTCGGGACCGCTGGGTGCTGCACCTGTAGCCGGCGCGGGCAGGTGTGGGGCGAAGTTGGTGGAGAAAGCAGTGGGAGGACGCGGCGTCGTGCCGGCTAGGGTCGCGGGTGCCACCGCCGCGCGCAATATCGGCTCCAAGCCGCGGTGGGCTCACCGCCTGTCTGCTGCGTCCTCCTGATCTGGGCCGCCAGCACTTCCTTGGAATTGAGGAAGTCGAGCAGGACGCTCCCTGTTACATCTTCAGGACGCGTCCGCCCCGTGCCCGGCCTCCTGTAGCCTGAGGTGGGAGACTCCCGCCGGGCGCGGGTGTCTGACGGCGCGGCTCGCTGACTGGCGCTGGGACGGCCCTAGCCGCTGGCATCCGTCGTCGCCCGGGCAGTGCGACGGGCCACCTGGGTGGGCGCTGGGTTCCTGCTCTGCTGCTTGGCGGAGGTGGCTCGGTCGCCGGCAACCACCGCGGCCCTGGCGGATTGCTAGCGAGTGAACTATGCTGCTGGGTACTGCTGCCTCCCGACAGTGTCCGCGCTAACCTGGGGGGGGGCGCCCCCTCCTTCGGTCCCGTCCACCCTGCCCGTGGGGGAGCACCGAACTGGTGCCTGGTCCCTGTTGGGAGGGTGAGTCCTCCCTGCGTCCGACGGAGCTCCTTGGGGAATGTGCTCCTCGGCGCATGGAGGGCAGGCGTAAACCGGGGGGGGCTGTCCTCTCTTCGGGCCCCTTCCTCACCGTCCGCGGGGGGGCGCCGAATTGGTGCATTGTCGCACTTGGGGTAGTGAGCCCTCCCTGCAGCTGGAGGGGCCCCTTGGGGAGGGTGCTCTTCGGCGCGCGGAGGGCAGGGGCAGACCTGAAGGGGGGGCTCTCCTCTCCTTCGGCCCCGTCCTCCCAGCCCGCGGGGGGGCGCTGAACCGGTGCGCGGTCGCCGTTGGCGCGGGTCCCTTCTTTGCAGCCAGGGGGGGGCCCTGAGAGGGAGGTTTCTCGGCGCGCAGAGGGCGCGCGTGGACCTGCGGGGGGATTTCTCCTCGTCCTCCTGGTGCTCGCGCCTCGTCTCTTCCCGCTCACTCTCTCTCGGCCTCTTCCTTGCCAGTGGGGTCGCACCGAATTGGTGCATGTTCACTTGTGGTGACGCCCTCACTCTCGACCTCCTCGCTGCCTTCCGTCGTGGCGCCCTTCCTGCCCGTGGGGTTGCACCGAACTGGTGCGTGGTCAAGTATGGGAGGCGGGGCCCTCCGCGCAGACAGCGGAGCTCCCCCCGGGGAGGGGGGTTCCGCGTCGCACGGAGGGCGTCTGCAGAGGAGCAGTCCAGCGTAGAGGGCCCAATCGCCCCGGGCGGAGCAGGTCAGACCGCCTTGGGCCGAAGTCCCTGGCAAACGTCGTGACCATGCGACCGTTGGCAGCGCTTTCCCTCTTCTCGTCGGCGCCACTGGACATTGGCACCTCATCACCTCGGAGCCAACGTGGCCGGCGGCGGCGGCGGTGTCAGCGGATCGGGCCCGCGGCAGCTCGCGCAACGTGCCGCGCGTCGCGATCTGTGCCCAGCCCGCCGCGGAGACCTGGGAGATCGCCTCGAGCCCGTTCGGGATATCCGCGACCTCGAGGCCAACGTCGCCCGCGGCGGCAGCGGCGTCCGCGGATCGGGGTTGGGACAGCTCGCAGAGCGCGCCAGGCGCCGCGATCTGCGCCCGGCCCGCCGCGGAGACCCCAGGATCGCTCCGAGCCCGCGCGGGATGTTCACGACATTCAAGTCGTCCAAAGGCGAGAAGTATAGACGTGCAGTTTCCCGCTGATTTCGGGCGCAGCGTGCCCCGCAATTGCCTGCGTGCTCACGGGGCCTTGTTTGAGCTCTGTCTGACGCCAAGAAGTCCTCCGTGCTACCATCTGCCTTGAACAACAACAGCAACAACCTTGGTGAGGGTGAGGCCCGCCGCGATACCCGGATCGAAGCTGACCTCAGCCTGGTCGTTGCAGTCGATTAGCACAAAAGAACAGCAGCAGGGGAGGGGGGAGGAGGAGGAGGGGGGGAGGAGGAAGAGGAGGCAGCCATGGGCTGCGGTACACGCACGTGCGGCCGGGGGCCGCCATCACCGCTCGAGCCACTGCGGCGGCTGGGCCAGGCGGAGCACTTTTGCTTCCAGAGCGTCGACAAGCGGCCGGTGTCGCCGCGGTGCCCGCAGGTAGCACTCCCAGTGCTCGTCGACGATGTTCAGGCCAAAGATGCGGAAGCCACACGCGGCCGCGTACCGGTTCCGGTGCACGGCACCGGGCCAACATATGAGCCGAAGCCGGGCTGCAGCAGCGTCGTCAGCAGACCGAGCATGCATGAGCCCGCGCGCCCGGGCCGCCGGCGCGGGGCGGCGGGCGGCCACTGAAGCAGCAGGGATTCAGGTACGACGCGTGGCCTGCGTCGGAGAGCATGAGGCTGCGGCCGTCGCGGCGCGCGCGGGCCTTGTTCGCGACGGAGTGTTGCTTAGCGCCTTCGCGCCTGCTCTCAACGTGAAGCCTTGCAAGTGTGACCGCGTCAGTGGGCGGGTTTGTGCCGAGATCGAGGATCAGACCGCGCATCGCCCGCAGGCGTGTGGTCAAGGACGTCCACAGCTGGCGCCCCTCCGAAGACTGCCGCGAAGGGCTGATCCATCTGCGAGCGCGCTCGACGCATTGATGGAATGCGAAAGAATTGCTCCACTGGTGCACCAAGGCAGGACAGCGCATGCGCGGGCGCATGGCGAGAGAATGCGACGTGTCCTTCTGCGTGCAGCCGTGCATTCGCCATGCGGTCGAAAAAACATCGGGGCGGCGCCAAGAAATCAACTGCATGCTTCTGCAGGATGCACAGCGCGGCCTGGAAGAGCATGCTCTTCTGCTCGAGGGTCTGCTGGACCACGTTGACGAACGGGGCCAAGTTGGCAAGTGCCACTTGCGGTCCACCAGGACCGGGAGCCGCGCGTGGGTTTCAAGCTCGACAAGCACCGCTAGCTCGACGCAGCTGACCTGCCCGAAGCCAGGGTCGGGAGGCGAGTTGCACGTGGCCGGCCAGGCCATGGTGCCCCACCACATCAGCAGACGATCATAAAATACCCGGTCGTGTCGGAGCTGCGCGTGAGTCAACCCAGCTGGCAGGGCAATGTTCACGTTGGACCATGAGAAAGTCCCGCCCCACACCATGGGATGCTGAGGTGGGAGGTCGTCCGTGGCATAGGGAGCAGGAGGCGGGGCCTCCGCTGCTTCCGGGGCCTCCGCTGCCTCGCTCTGCTGGTCCAGCGCGCGGTCCTGCACGCCGAGGAGGAAAGTCTGCACCTGGCGCACTGCGGCAGTGCGGCGCTCCGCAGCCAGAGCGGCAGCCAGGGGGGCTACGGTGGAGAGCCAAACACATTCAAAGCCTCGATCCTCGACCCTCGAGCCCCCCTGCCCCCCCATCCTCTTCTACCTCCTCCTCGAATTCTTTTTCTGGATAAATAAGCTATTGTCGCAATCCGAGGCCAGTTTTTAGGGCGGGCCGGGCGTTTCGCCTGAGACTTCCTCACCACTTATGACCCTGAAATTTCCAAAGTTGGCAACATTTTCACAGATGGAGGGCGGGTGGTTTTCAACTGTTGTTTTCGCCTGCGCGCCGCGCGCATTTGTTTAACAAAAGTTACGAGGGCTTCACACATTGAGGGCGACCCGTTTTCAAAATGTGGCTCTCGCCTTAGCGCCGCGCGCGTTCGTTCTACAGAATTGCAAGAACTTCACACATTGAGGGGGGCCCGTTTTCAAAGGGTGGCGTTCGTTTTAGCGCCGCGCACATTCGTTAATACAATTTGCAAGAGCTTCACGGACTCTTTTTTCAAAATGTGGCTCCCGCCTTAGCGTCGCGCACATTCATTAATCAAATCTGCAAGCATTTCACGGAGTCCCATAGTCAAACTACCAGAGAAGGTGTTTTGGACGGATTTAGGGGTATGAGGGTGCAACCGTTTCGTTCGCTCGCGGTGTTGAAGTCCCAAGATTGGCGTTTTGGCACGATTCAGGATCGTCAAAATTCAACAGTCAGGTTGATCCGTGGCGTTGGACTCCCGAGAGCAATGTTTTGGTATGCTTCAGGGTCTTCCAACGGTTGTGCCTCCAGCAATGCAATTCCTTCAATGGAAATGAACCGTTGTAGCGCCGTTGTAAGGGCTCATGAAAAGGGAGCTTGGAGGGAGGGTTCATTCCAACATCGTTGATGTCTTGGGTTTACACTGGTGTTTTTCTTCTTCCTCCTCCTCGTCCTCCTCCTCCTCCTCCCCCTCCTCCTCCTCATGTCCTCCTCCTCCTCCTCTTCCTCTTCCCCCTCCCCCTCCTCTTCCTTCTGGCGCATCCGTGCAGGAGTACTTCGAGTATACCCCGGGCATCCTGAGGGCCTACGTCAAGCCCGTGCATTGGGATACATTGACCTTCATGCTCGAGCCCGTGCTCGCGAAGCGGATGGGAGTCAGGCTCATAGGACGGCGCCATCTTCTCCAGTCGAGAATGATCGAGGAGGAGGAGGAGGAGGAGGAGGCAGGAATTTGTACCTACCTATCCACCGCCCTGGGAGGCGACCTCCCGGGACCCCAGGAAGCATTGAGTATGGAGATATTCTCGAGCCCTGGATGGGGCCCAAAAATGGTTCTGGGACATCGGTTCCCCACACGGTGGATAGTATCAATTCAGGATTCGGGAAGGACGAGGACGAGGAAGATGGGGATCGCGGAAGGAGGATGAAGTTTCACGCCTCCTGGGGTGCTCTCGTCGCCACCGCAGGATTCCCATCGAAGTTCTGGCCAGAACGCCAGGGCCGTTCGGGGGGTCGACTTGGAGGCCATGCACCCATATCTGCGGCGACTCGAGCCGAGATCGCGCCCGAGGCTCCTTCCGCAAGTTTCAGTCTCTGGATCGTTCCCGGGCCTCGAGACCGCCGAAAAGCAACCCAGGACGAGAGGCTTGTCCCAGCAGCGGCTCGAGAGATCCACGGGCCGGCGACTCGAACAAATCGGATCATCAGTCCTGCGGATGCTATTTCGCTTCGGTTCTACGAGCGCCCAGCTGCTTGCAGCGTCGCTCTCGGTGCCAGGTATGCGACTATATGGGACACAGTCGCAAGCAGGTGGGGCGTTCCCGAAAAGGCCTCGCCGTCGAGCAACCGAGAGGTTGACTTCTCTTCCTCGGCGTAAGCCTGCGGAAGCAAGACATGCGTTCTCAAGAGATGCTCGTGCTTGCATTTGAAGTTTTATTTCCGGAGCGAGCCAAACGTGGACACTACCGGTACACCATCGAGATTTGGTCGAACATTCACCAGGGCATCATTTGTCGGGGGCCTCCAAACGGTGTGGTGACCACATTGTGTGGTGATGGGGGTTCGGCGTCACCGCATGGTTTTGGGACTCGGGTCGTTCTCTGAGGATGTCTCGGGCGGCTGGGTCTCCGAGGTCCCAAAACGTGTGGTGACGGACCCTGCGGTGAGGTCTTTGCGGATTTCGGGATCAACGTTGGGTCTCTGTCACCGCACGGTTTTGGGACCCCCAAATTTGGGACACCGTCGATGCACCATCGAGTGCCAACTGGGGCACCATCGGGACACTGGCTCGGCGAATTACCCCAACCCTGAGCAGCCGCACGCAAAGAGGTGGCAGGAAGCCGAGGCTGTCTCAAGCTTTCCCTCAAGTTAGGGCACCCGCCTCCTGGGTGTAACTGCAGGTCACTGCGAGGCCGGCCGTGCGCACATGGCGCGCCGCATTCGCACCACTCTGTAGGCGTGCTGGCTCAAGATCGCGGTGCGGCTCAGGGCCAGAGCAGACCGCCTGGGCGCGCCAACTTCCACAGATAGAGATGCAGCTGACCGCGGCTGTCGGGTCCGTTTTCGTGGTCGCATGCTCGGTGGTCAGAGCGCTTCCGAGGGAGTGCTACATCTACAAGGAGTGCGAAGACCTCGACGGGCTCTGCTGCCCCAACCACGAGGGCACGATGCTGGATCCTTATTGTTAGGGCAGAAACACACCTGGCACTCGCACACCGCACCCCCACTCCCCCTCCCCGCTGTCTAAAGGATGACGATGATGATGGTGGTGGTGATAACAATGCTGATGAGGATGCGGATGATGACGATGACGACGACGACGATGACGATGACGATGATGATGATGATGATGATGATGATGATGATGATGATGATGATGATGATGATGATGATGATGATGATGATGATGACGATGATGATGATGCGGATGATACGGATAGTTCATGATAATAGGATGATGATGCTGATGGTGGTGGTGATGATGACGATGATGATGGTGATAATAATGTTGATCACGACGACGACGCTGCTGCTGATACTCATGATGATAATGATTATGCTGATGGTGATGATGATGATGATGATTATTATTATGTATGTGCTGCTGCTGATGGTGATGGTGGTGGTGACGATGATGTTGATGATGCTGATGATACTATTGATGCTGATGGCATTGATGACGACGATGATGATGCTCTGATGATGATGACGATGGTGGTGGTGATGATGATGATGGTGATGACGATTCGTGTGCTGTTGCTGGTGGTGGTGATGATGGAGAGTCTGCCGATCGCGATGATTAGGATGATAATGATGAGCATGATGATGCTGATGATGATGCTGATGATGATGCTGATGATGATGATGATGATGCCGATGATGATGATGCCGATGATGCTGCTGATGATGATACATGTCGGAGATTATTATGACGATGATGCTGATGATGCTGATGCTGGTGGTGATGATGCTGATGCTGATGCTGATGCTGACAATGATGGTGATGGTGATGGTGACGATGATTGTGATGATGCCGCTTCTGATGATCATGACCTTGCTGCTGCAATTGCTGATGATGCTGATGCTGCTGACGATGATGATATTGATGATGATGGTGATGATGATGACGATGCCGTTGCTGCTGCTGCCGATGCTGATGATGCGGCTGATGACGACGACGATGTGGACGACGACGACGGCGAGGATGACGATGACGGCGACAGTGACGATGATGCTGATGATGATGCTGATGATGCTGATGATGATGCTGCTGCTGCTGATGATGATGATACATGTCGGAGATGATTATGACGATGATGCTGATGATGCTGATGCTGGTGGTGATGATGCTGAAGCTGATGCTGATGATGATGGTGATGGTGATGGTGATGGTGACGATGATGGTGATGATGCCGCTTATGATGATCATGACCTTGCTGCTGCAATTGCTGATGATGCTGATGCTGCCGACGATGATGATATTGATGATGATGGTGATGATGATGACGATGCCGTTGCTGCTGCTGCCGATGCTGATGATGCGGCTGATGACGACGACGATGTGGACGACGACGACGGCGAGGATGACGATGACGGCGACAGTGACGATGATGCTGATGATGATGCTGATGATGATGCTGCTGCTGATGATGATACTGATGCTGATGAGGATGATGATGATGATGATGCTGATGATGATGATGATGATGGTGGTGATGATGGCGGTGGTGGTGGGGAGGATGAGAGTGAGGAGCGGTATGAGTATGGGCACGCGTTTTTTCTCCCAGGAGTGTTGCATCCTGGGGGCTATCACATTAAATAACCAGCATCTGATGGACGCCGCGGAGTCGGCCAAGAGAAATGCATCGGCGGTGGCCAGGGAGGCCAAGGACGTAGCACGCAAGGCCGAGGATCGGGAGGGTGTACAATCCCCACGCTCCTACTCGCCGCTACCTCCTGCTCCCCACTCCATCCTCCCTTCTCTGCCCTTCGTCCTCTGCCTCCGTCCTCCTCCCCCTCCTCCATCCCCTCCTCCGCCCCCCGCCGTCCACCTCCCTTCAGGGCCGACGTCACAAATCCCCATGCAGCTTTGTGTAGGGCAGGGCGTGGCCCTCTCGTCATATCCTATGCGCCACAGAATGGGCGGAGTTCTGGTCCCAGTGGGGCACGACCCGCGTGAGGGCCCTGCAGTTATGGGCCAGGGGCGGCTTGCTGGCTCCCCCGCTGCGGCGGTCCCCCACTGGGGCCGCAGGTCGAGCTTCCACAGGGGCCACTATCCGCGAAAAGGGTGTGCGGAAATGGGCGGGGGGGACACATATGAGCCACGATCCGCGGGCGGGGGGGGCGCATGCGAACGCCCTCACTGGGGCTGTAGGCGGAGCTGCATATGGGGCCACGATCCGCGGATGCCTGTGAACGCCCTCGCTGGAGCTGCAGGTGGAGCTCCCTGTTGGGGCCATGATCCGTGCGATAGGTGTACCACATCTTGTTGGCAGGAGCACAAATGTGAACGCCCTTACTGAGGCCGTAGGTGGACCTCCCAGTGGGGCCACGATCCGCATGAGGGGCGTTCCACCATGGGCGGGGGTGGCGCACGTGAACGCCTTCGCTGGGGCCGCGGGAGGAGCTCCCTATGGGCCAGACGATCCGCGTGAGGGGAGTGCCGAGATGGGCTGGGGAGTGCATGTGAATTCCCTCACTGTGACCGTAGGTGGAGCTCCCCACGGGGCCACGATCCGCGTGATGAGTGTGCCGAAATGGGCTCAAGGGGGCATGTGAACGCTCTCCCTGGGGCCCTAGCTGGAGCTCCCAACGGGGCCACGATCCGTGTGCGGGCTGTGTCGACATGGGCGGGGGGGCGGCATGCGGGCGCGCCCGCTGGGGCTATAAGCGGAGCTCCCTGCGTGAGGGGTGTGCCGCCATTGGACGAAGGCCCGCATACGAACGCCCTGGCTGGAGCTACCCAGGGGGCCATGATCCATGCGAGGAGTGCAGAGACGGGGGAGACGTATGAACATCCTCACTTGGCCCTCACGTGGAGCTCCTGTGGGGCCACGATGCACGCGAAGAGTGTGCCGACATCTGCTGGAGGACGCATGTGGACGCCCTCGCTGGGGCCGTAGGTGGAGCTCCCTGTTGGGCTATGATCCGCGCGAGGAGTTAGTTTGGGAGCGCATGTCCTCACCGGGGCCGTAGGTGGCGCTCCAAATGGGTCTGCGATTCCGTGTGAGGGATGTGGCGATATGGGCGGGCGGACGCATGTGAACGCCCTCAGTGGGACCTTTGTTGGAACTTCCAATGGGGCCACGATCCGCGCAAGGGATGTGCCGACATCGGCGGGGGACCACATGTGAACCACGATCCGCGTGAGGGGCGTGCCGAAGAGGAAAGGGTGGAAGGAGAGGAATGAGGGAGGGGGAGGACGGAGGTCTGCGCTCGGCGGAGAGGGCTCAAAGCGAAAACTGTGTAACAAGCTGCGCCATCGCGAGAAGCCACGACCAGAGCCTTCGACCCCGTCTTTCTGCGGCATGTCCTCGAGCTGGATCGACCGGTGAGCCGAAGCCGGACGAAAACGCCCAGCGCGCAGGAACTGTGACGCCTGGACGTCGGGGTCCGCCACTCCGGGGCTCCAGGGCCCCGTCCCCTCCGTAGCCGTTTTGGCTCAGGCCGCCCCTCGCGCACGCGCGGAGCCCCCTCGGGCGCGGCCGATGGGGGCCCCGGCTGCCGCGCAGCAGGCGGCGCGGCTCCCGTGAGGCGGGCCGCGCCGGGCAGCAGCGCGCCGGCCTGGCGGCAGCGGGGGAGGGGCGCGGCGCCGCGGCCGCCGCCGCAGGGGCGATGCTGCGCCTGCGCAGCGTCTCGAGGGGCGGCCCGCGCGGCGGCGGCGGGCCGAGGCGGGACGGCGAGAGGGCCAGCCCCAGCTCTGGCAGCCGCTCACGCGGGGTCCGCCGCTGGGAGGACGGGTGCGGCGGCGACCGCCGTGGCGCCCGCCGCACGCCGACGCCGCCTCCGTGCAGCGGCGGCCTCCGTGGCGTCTGCCGCGACTCTGGCTGCCTTGACGGCCGCCGCGGGGACGACCGCGGGAGCGGCGCCCGCCGCACTCCGACGCCGCCTCCGTGCAGCGACGGCCGCCGCGGCGTCCGCAACGGCTCCATCCGCCGTGACGACCGCTGCAGAGACGACCGCGGGAGCGGTCGCCGCGGCGACGGGCGCTGCATCGACGGCCAGCGTGGGCGCTCGTCGCGAGGCGAGCGCCCAGCGCAGCCCGATCGCCGCAGGCCGAGGGACTCGCGGTCGCTAGAGCGCGGCAGGCTAGCGCCCCTCGAGCGCGCCCCGGGCGATGGAAATTTGCCGCGCAGGGCCGAGAAGCTTCGCGAGCAGCTGAAGGGTCCCGCGCCGAGCAGGGCGGTCGGCGAGGCGGGAGCTGAGGTGAGGCCTGCTTCGCGGGCCAAGAGCCATAGCCAGGAAGCCTCGAGCCGCAGAGGCAGGGCAAGCTCGAGCTCCCAGCGGAGCCCGCCCCGGAAGTTGGCCAGGGTCTCGGCCTTCGACCAGACTGTGGCACCACCCCACGAGCCTACTTCACTTCACAGGCTGGCGGTGCTGACAGCCGCGACACAGGCCGCCCCCCCACAGCAGACTTACTCGCCCAACGCGGAGCTCGAGGCGTTCCTGATCCGTCACCCGCTTGAGGCGCACGCGGCGATGAAGTTGCGCTCGATGCCTCACGACCAGGTCCATATGATAATCAGCATGGGTTTGAATGGCGCCCAGAACGCGACCGCCGTGATATGCGGCCGGATCCGCCACATCGACAAGTTCGTTGGCGGCATCCAGATGGGCGCGCGCAGTGGCGCCAAGGCATTGCGGGGTGCATCCGCCAGCTATCAGCAGCCCTTCACGGGCCTTACTGGCGTGGTGAGGACTGCGATGCCGCAGGGCCCATCGCGGGATCCAATCGTCGAAGATGATGAGCTCGACGCGGTCGTCGCGCAGATCACGTCCGAGGCGTCCAAGACCACCAAGCGCAGTAAGGCATTGAAGGGCGATGCCGGCCCAGATGTCGCCAAGGGCAAGTCCTCCTTCAAGGCGCCCTTCGCATCGCGCAAGGTCCACACGGCGCATGCGGAGAAGGTGCAGTCCCAGGAGCCCCCGCAGCCGTCGCCGCCCCAGGAGCTCGCCGCGGCGAGGGCGCCGGCCCCAGCGCCAGAAGCAGCAGCGGGCGGGCGGGTGTTGGAAGACCCCGCCCTCGTAGCCGCCAAGGCCGCGTGGGCCACGTGCGGGCTTCCTGGCAGCGACGCGCCCGGGCTGGCCGGCGCTGCGCCTGCCAACGCGTCCGCGTCCACGGACGACGCCCTGACGCAGGCGTACACGCAGGGGATGCGCGAGGTGCTCGCGGCCTCGCTCGCCGGCCACCTCGTGCCCGCGCAGCAGGTCGTGATGCCAGAGACGGCGTCGCCCCGTGGCGCGCCGCAGACAGCGGCCGATCGTGGGCGGGCCGCTGCCCAAGTGGTGGTGCAGGCCGCGGCGGCCGCGGCGGCCGCGCAAGCGGCGTACGAGGAGGTGGGGGTGGTGCTGCCGAACGTGGCGCCAGAGGACCTGGTGCAGGCGGGTCCGCGCAGCGGCGAGGCACCGCCGGCTCGGCAGCTGGCGGTCGCGGCGCAGGCCCGCCCGCTCTTGCAGGCCACGGGCGCGGCGCCTAAGACGGCGGGAGTCTCGGCGGGGCGGGTCCCGGACGAGATCCGCAAGCCGACTGGCATCTCTGCCGCAGCCAAGCGGCAGTACGATGCGCTGGTCGGCGAAGGGGTGTTGCTGCCCAGACAGAGAAGCAGGCAGACAGGTGGGTGCAAGTAGGGGTGAGCAGTGATCGCTTCTCCATCTGCGCTTCTCAACTATCCTACCTTGTCCGCCTACCGACTCTGAGCTGCATTTCTGCGCTCTTATGGGCGGAGGTGCCTAGCTCACCACGTCCGCATCGATTCGATGATGCGTGCCGCTGTCCGCTCGTGGCGTCGATCGATTCGACTGCGCACCCCACTGGGCGACGGCCGGCTCCCCTGATCTACGGATGCGTCCCGATTCAATTCGACCAATTCGATTGTACGAGCGATTCGACCGTTTTGAGGTGAAAGGATGATGGGCCCAGTGGTGGTTGTTCTTGTCCAGGGGCTAGCGCAAGATTCTATCCCTAAACCCTATACCTATCCAAAGGTGTGCTCTGACCAGAATTTCGAGGTGGCTCCAGCTTTGGCGACGAGAGGCCGCCTGGAGGCCAAGAAGTATTGAATCACGTTTGAACATCTGGATCCTCAATCCTCGCATTCCGAGGGTGCGAAGGTCAACCGCGCGTAGCGGTCCGCGCAGCTCGGAGCGCGAAGTGGATGGCCTTGCTCGAAACTGGGCGCCCAGTGCTTCTGCCTTCTCCTTGGATGCTGCCAGGGCGTCCTGTCCTGCTGCTGCTCATCCCTCTTCGAGGGTTGCTTAGGGTTCGAGTTTCTAGGGGGATGTAATCGAGGTTCGATCCAGTATCGAGGTTTGCGTGCATGTTGTTCTATCCTTTTTTGGCCTCCGCGGGTTCCTGTCTCCTTTCTGTGAACGCCTGCCACAGCCCCAAGTCTGGACAGACCAATCTTGGGCCCAGGATCGGGGTCGGAGTATACCCATACCTCCGACGACCAGACACGCCGTAGTCGCCATCCCCACGGTTTCTCTACTCCTCCCTGGGACATATTTCCAATCATGCATCACACTTGCTGATATATGATATATACACATGTTCGGGGTCCAGGAGTCCCCCTCAAGAAGCTGAGAAACATGACGAATATCGGGAGCGATGTGTTCGAGTCGCCAGGTATGGGTCGGTAGGGTCCTCCCATTCGCGCCTTTCCCCCCCTCCTCCCACGAGGACCTCGCCTGGCCTGTAAACAGAACCCCCATCTGTAGAGCCGTTTCTCCCCAGCCCTCCGATTCCAGGTCACTCAAGAGTAGTAGTAATATGCTGTGGGCATTTCTCATCTGTGGTGAGAGCCCCGATGAAACAATACCATGCGGGCCACATGCGCGCTGGCGTCTCACACGGAACAGCTTTTTCTCAGGATCCGATGTTCAGTACATCCCCGCTCCGAAAGTTTCTTCATCGAGAGTGCACCAGAGATATCCAGCAACAGCGGTGAGATGTCGCCCGGGAGAGATTTGGTTCTTGTAATTCCATGCGGGGCGAATTTCAGAGTGGAGTAGACGTGACCGATAGTGAGTTTTTTTTGTGTGGAAAGGCAGGGGGACAGATTTTGGTTTTGAAATGCTTATTGTGACCATTTCTACACCAGGGAGAACTCTGGTATGCTCTTCCTCCCGTCGAGGCAGAAGGGAGAAGGGGAACCGTTTGGCGTTACCGTAGCCGTCGTTGCCCGAGATGCATCCATTCCGTAACTGGTCAGTGTATAACGAGCAGTCGGCGTCCCTTCAAAAAAGAGGTACAGTTTCATTGCGCGGGGCTCACACGCTGCGGGCTTCAAAATGTCTCTCATCCAGCTCTTGGATGAGCTAGCTCCTCAAAGCCGAACGGCTTATCGAAATTGGCCTTCATCTGCTCGCGCGACCTCCTGAATGGGGTGACTGTAGCACATGGCGCACGCATGCGCGCGCTCACTTCAACCATGGCCCTTGGCGTCAGAGGAGAGCTTTCCGACGCGACGGTGTACGATGGTGTTTGAAGATTTGTGGGTGAGCGGTTGGGACTTATCGCGCTGTCGGAGGTGAGGGGTTGAGATCGAAGTGGAACGGAGAGCCCCCCTCCCGGGAAATCGGTTTCGGTTTCATGTTCGTGCGTGCCGTCCGTGCGGGCGAGGCGAATCTGCGTAGGCGGGCGAGAAGAAAGTCTCCTCCGGCTGAGGCGCGGCCGGAACAATGATTCCTTTCCGGGGGCCGGTGGCCCGCGGTCGGTGTCCCGCCGGTGTCCCGCCTCCGGCTGAGGCGCGGCCGGACCAAATAATTCCTTTCCGGGGGCCGGTGGCCCGCGGTGTCCCGCCGGTGTTCCGCCGGTGTCCCGTCGGTGTCCCGATGATGATGATAATGTCGATGATGTTGATGGTGATGACGGTGATGGTGGTGATGATGATGGTGTCCCGATGATGATGATGATGATGATGATGATGATGATGATGATGATGATGATGATGATGATGATGATGATGATGGTGGCCCGATGATGTTGACGATGTTGATGATGATGATGATGGTGATGGTGGTGATGACGATGGTGTTCCGATGATGATGTTGATAATGATGATGTTGATGATATTGATGGTGGTGGCCCGATGATGATGATGATGATGATGATGATGATGATGATGATGACGATGATGATGATGATGATGATGATGATGATTATGTTGATGATCATGATACTGTTGATGATGATGAAATCATGATGATGATGGTGATGGTGTCCCGATGATGATGAGGTTGCTGATGATGCTGTTGATGATGATGGTGATGCTGGTGTCCCGATGATGTTGATGATGATGATGACGATGACGGTGTCCCGATGATGATGCTGATGATGAGGAGGAGGAGGAGGTGATGTTGATGATATTCATGATGGTGGCCCGATGATGGTGACAATGATGATGATGATGATGATGATGTTGAGGTTGATGATGATAGTTGCCCGATGATGATGGTGACGATTATGATGGTGTCCCGATGATGATGATGCTGTTGATGATGATTTTGTTGATGAGGATGGTGGCCCGATGATGATGATGTTGATGTTGCTGTTCATGATGATGATGATGATGAGATGATGGTGATGATGGTGGTGTTCCGATGATGACGGTGTTCCGATGATGACGTTGATGATCATGATGGTGGCGATGATGGTGTCCCGATGACGATGATGATGATGGCGATGCTGATGTTGATGATGATGGTGATGAGGTGAAGATGATGGTGTTGGTGGCCCGATGATGATGATGATGATGATGATGATGACGATGACGATGATGATGTTGATGTCGTTGATGACGATGATGTTAGTGATGATGATGATGACGTTAATTGTGATATCGATAGTGCGATCGATAGTGAGACCGAATGTGATATCGATTGTGAGATCCATAGTGAGATCGATCGCGAAATCGATTGTGAGATCGATCGGCAGATCGATTGTGAGACGATCGAATGAAATAGATCGATTGAGATCGATCGAGTGAGATCGATCGAGCCTGACCGATAGTGAGATCGATCGTGAGATCGATAGTGAGACCGATCGAGTGAGTTGTTGGTTCCTCCCCCCCCGAACCTCCTTATCACCCGAAGGGTGGTCGTAGAGGCACCATACCCGCAGTTTGTATCCTTACCCTTTCTTCCTTCCGTGTTGGTTTCTTTTTCTTTTTCGATTTCATTTACTTTCGTCCGCTTCGTTGTTCCACTCTTTCCATATGTATTATACATGAAACCGTATTTGTTTATGGCCCACGTGTCAGTGATCCTCCTCTTCAGCTGGAATCGTCTTCGTACCCTCCTGTTCTACATCATTGTTACTCTTATTCGTTCGGTGGTATGACGGCCACTTTCTCTCCTCCTTGGGAAAGCCATTGGCAAAAACATATGCCTAGTCATAGGGACCCATAGACGTAGCCGTAGGCGCGTCAAAGGGGACGCCACAGGGGTGTCCATACGTAGGCAGCCATGTGCGTAATCGTATACTCGTTTCCCCTCTAGTCGCTTCTGCTCCTTTTCTACGGTGCCTTTATTCTACGAAGCACAAGGGGGGGGGCACTCATGCGCACACTGCAATCCGTACAAACACAATCGATTTCAACAGACACCCACGAGACATCCGTACTGCCAGACGTTACACGAAGGGCCTCCCCTTCGAGGGATTGAGACGTTGGCACTCCTCTGCGGCGGAAGGAAGCGGAATGGTTGGCAGACGGCCGCGTACGTACAACGATGGCCGCGCTCTATCGGCGGAAGCCAGCGGAAGGCGGAGGACGGCGTAAGTAGAATATGCCTTCCAAAATTTGGCCAGTCATTTGAATTCAAGGCAACTGGATGCAGCCATATGTGTGCCCAAGGGGTGCCGAATGCGCGACCATATGAAGCCATCGGCGTAGCCACAGCAAATCGCAGGAATAAACACAGGAACACGTAGGCGCAGCCAAGATCTTCCAGGGGCCAAAAAATCCAGAGCCGTGGCTGCGCTGGATGACCCAGTCTTTACAATGTACAGCCAGGGCTGTGAAGATAGGCCAAGGCGTCGGAGAGTTGGTTTTCTGCCGAGGAGGCGGGCAAGATGGCGGAGGCGGCCAGGGAGAAGCAGCGGAAGTTGAGGAAGGACGTCGAAGAGGCAGAGAAGGAAGCGAATGCTGCCAATCGAGAGTACAAGAATGCAACACGACAGATCAAGGCCCGGGCGGTGACGGTGACGGTGAAGGAGGGGCGGGGGAGGAAGGTCGACTGCACGTAAGAGTGACCCTTCGCCGGAGTGACCTTTGGAGCGGGCCCATTGGGGTCACCGATCGCCGAACGCGAGGCGGCAGTGGCGTCTTGCGCGCTTGTGTTTAGCCCCCCCGTGGCCCCCAAAAAAGCCGCGCACCAAAGGTCACTCTTGCCCAGGGTCACTCTTACGTGTAGCCGAGAAGGATGGATGGAGGATGGAAGGATGGTGTTGGTGATACTGACTCTGAGCATGATGAACATGAATATGATCGGATGGATGGAAGGTGATGTTGTTGGTGATGATGCCGATGATAATGATGTTGATGTTGATGTTGTTGGTGATGATGATGGTGATGCCAATGATGATGATTCTGATGATGAGGAGGATGATCCATACGATTATGTTGATGATGCTGATGATGATTATGATGATCATGATGGCGATCATGATTATGGTAATGCTGACGATGATGCCTATTCGAATAATAATGATATTGATGACGACGATGTTTATTATGACGATGATGATGTTGATGATGATGCTGTTGATGATGATGACGATGCTGATGATGACTGTGAAGGGGATGGTGACAACGATGTTGTTGCTGCTGATGGTGACGATGACGACGACGACGATGACAGTACTGATCATGACGACGACGACGACGGTGCTGAATATTGTGATTGTAACGTGTTGATGGTGATGATAGGTGATGATGACGACGATGATGACGATGACGAGAATGATGATGTTGATGATGATGACGATGATGGTGATGATGATGACGATGATGGTGATGATGATGATGATGGTGGTGATGAGTTTGATGATGCGGATGATGCGGATGATGATGATGATGATGATGATGATGATGATGATGATGATGCTGATGATGACGATGATGATGATGATGATGATGATGATGATGATGATGGTTGTGGTGGTGGTGAAGATGATGAAGGTGATGATGATGACGATGATTTCACTGTTGCTGATGATGGTGCTGCCGAGGTGCATGAGAAGGAATACTAGTTGGGATTACCGCTTGCCTTAAAAGCACACTCGCACGCTAGAGCTGAACACGCAACATGTATGGATGTATCTACGTACTCTACCAGCGACTGGGAGCCGATGGGGAACATCCCGCACCATAATGAGGCAGGGTGCTTTCTACCGGGCAGTCGAATTTCCCTGCCCCTGGCCGTGGGCTAATTGGCAGGCCCGCGCACAATTGCAGGCCGTGAAGCTCTTGCAATTCTTAAGTACGAATGCGCGCGGCGCTAAGGCGAGAGCCACCTTTTGAAAAGGAACCGCTTTCAATCCGTGAAACTCTTGCAAATGTTCAAAACGAATGCGCGCGGCTCTAAGGCGAAAGCTGCATTTTGAAAACGACCCGCCCTCAATTCGTGAATCTCTTGCCCTGTTTTGCAACGAGCGCGCGAATCGCTAAGGATGGAGCCACATTTTGAAAAACACCCGCCCTCAATCCGTGAAATTATTAGAACTTGTGCAACGAATGTGCGCGGCGCGAAGGCGAGAGCCACATTTTGAAACCCACCAGCCTTCAATCCGTACAATGCTTGCAAATTTTTAACAGTGCGCGCGGCGCCTGCGGAACCGGGTTGGGCCTCCTCTGACCTCCCGATCCCGCAGCGGGGGTCGGCGGCGGAGCCCGCAGGGCTCGAGGAGAGGATGCGGCCCCTTTTCCAGTCCTGCTACCAGGAACCAAATCGCCTCAAGCCGGCTCGAACCGAGCCGGCAGCAATGGGAGAGAGATAAGAGGGAGAAAGGGCGGGGGAAAAGGGTATATAACGGGCTTAAAGCCGAGAGCAGGGGACAGATCCAATCCGAAGGGCTCGTTTTTCCTCACGGATTCTTAATCTTTGTGGATCTGTGCCCAGTTCGATGGCCGACCTCTGATAGGCAAACCATCCATTCAGTCATCCAAGACAAAGGCGCCATGGTCGCGACCCATGGCGGTGAAATTACAATATGGAGCGAGCCCAGAACCAACGCTACCGGGCTCATGAAATCAAAACACAGAAAACTCTGTCCAGAAATCTTGTCATTTACTCTCACGATATGCAAACGGACCAGCCGGCCCAATCGGATGTACATATTCCGAGGAAGAGGAGGAGAGAGTAGATAATTAGCATCACACCGCACTCGAGCGCACAAACTTGCACTAGCCTCGGCCCGACACGAGCTTAGACAATTGGAGGAGGAAAGGAGAGGTCCAGATCATTCACTATGGCTCAAGGACTCCGGGTGTGAACCTGCCATCCTTGGCCAACTCCCTCATTCTGGATTCCCAGCGTTCTCGAGCGACACAACGGGCCGTCTTCACCATTTCCTCTCTAAACTCGAAACTCCACGTGCCACGCTCTAACGTCTCTCGAAGATGGTCCGCCGGCATGTCCTTCGTCAGAGCATCGCTCAACATGTTGGTACCGTCCGTCCAGCGCACCATCGTCTGCGGCCTATCCAGAATCTCCCTGATGCTGGCCAACTCTAGGTTGACCGACTTCTGCGCCGAGCTGCCCACTCCGGCGTCTGAGTTGAGCCTGTCGTGGCCGTCCTTCGAATCCGTCACAATCGTCATCGGTATCTGCCAGCCCGACAGCTTCATCCCTGCGCCCCTTGCCACGGGGCCGTACAACATCTCCGCGATCTGGTCGCGCATCCCTTGGGCGACGTCCACGGCGTCACCCACGGAGATCACCTCCGCAGCGTAGGAACTCCTCGCCGCGCGCTTCAGCTTGTGGCTCTTGCCCTCCAACAACGAGAACCGGCCCACGCCGCCGTCCACGAGCGCGCGGTCCGCGAACAGGATGAGGAAACCGGCCTGAGTACCAATCTTCTCGGTCGCCGGATCTGCCTGCAACGCCGTCCCGTCGCTCATCACATTGCCCAGTGAGCTGTCTGATACCACCACCAGGCCGAATCTCTGGAGGTCGATCGGTCGCATCGTGATCTTGAACGTCGAGCTGCGCTTCAACTCCCTCAGCAACTGGTTCGCCTTGATCAGCGCCGCGATCCTCGGGCCCTTCTTGCGTCCCTTCTCGCGCTGCAGCACCGCCAGGTCGTACGAGTAGTCCACGCGCAGCTTGGTCACCAGCCAGTTGATCTTGCCGACCACCTGCTGATACTGCTTCCATTCCATGGCGTTCATGGGCTGGTGCGCCACTGTGCGTCGGGCCCTGGGTACAATCACAGGTTCCAGCCCAGCTGCGTATTCCATCATGTCAATAGTGATAGCTCCTCCAGGCTGTCGCTGAAACCGCCTGCCGCAGAACACAAAGTTATCGTACTCTTCACTGCCGAAGCCGAACTCCTTGCCCAGCGCGTCCATCACAGTCGCCATCTTCTCGTTCCCCGTCCAGAGGAAGTCGTCCACATGCACGCAGACACAGCCCCACATCGTGTCCGGCCCACGCTTCTTCCCTTTCGGGTCGTGGAGCACCAAGAATGCGGGGTCCGAGCGAGAAGGTTCGAGTCCCAACTTGCGGGCTGCTGAGACCACCTTCAGGTACCACAGCCTCGGCGCCGTAGGCAGTCCGAACACGCCCTTCCGAACTCGCGCCAGTCGACCTCGAGGAAAATCTGCGAGCGAGGGACCATGCATCGGAGCGCGAATCACCAAGCCGCGCTCGTCCACCTCGCCCTTGAGAAACGCGCCACTCACGTCCTTCGATCCAAACTTCCACTCCGGGTGAGACGCAGCTACCTGCGTCAAAATCATCTCCGACTGGGTGGTCGCGCAGGGCGCGTCCACTCTCACGTTGGCCTTCTCGTCCGAACGCCCCAGGTCGCCACTGTTGACCACCAGCCTCGCGTTCGCCTTCAACGGTAGGTCATTCGCCTCCGTCCTCAGCGGATCGTTCTTGTCAGTCAGCACCCACCGCGTACTCATGATGTAGTCGCCCTTGCCTTCGCGCTTCTTCTGCTCCTCGAGTTCAGCGGACTCCTTCTCCAGCAGCACCTCCACGGACTCCGTGTCAATCCACTTGGTCCACTGCGACGCCGCTGCCTCTTCGTAATTCGCCTTCGTAGGTGGGTCCATCCGACTCCAGACCTTTTCCTTCCGGGCTTGGCCCTGAACGAGCATCGCCTCCAACTGTGGATCAACCGCAGGTACCGTCTCCAGGTGATCCAGAAAGCGCCGTCGATCTGCTTCAGGAGCACCCTGGAGCCTTGCTTTAGCTCGTTTCTTCACACCCTTGACCCGCAGCGCCTCGTCGGGGTGCTTGGGTTCCGGTGGCCCGTCACGTCCTCCACGAGATGGTACCTCAGGCAGCTCAGCTTCCACCGCGTCGCGCTTCCTGCCATGAGGCTGGACCTCAGGCTCCACAGACGCCGTCTCCACCGCAGGCGTGCTGAGGCTCGAAGCATCACCTTCACGTCCTTGATCCTCGTCCTCGTCGTCCTCGACGTGCGGCGTCTTTGGCGCGAAGTTGCCGTAGGGCCCGAACTGTCCGTCTGGAACGACGTTCGCCACCGGTACCGTAGCGGTCGAAGGCCTCGCCCGCTCACGCATTTCTCCGACTTGCTTCTGGATGGTCTTCGCCACGCGCAGCGTCTTTGACCGGATCGGGTCCTCCCTCTGGTCCCGCAGCCGCTGCGCCACGTCCTGCAGGAAGTCCGTTTTCCCGCTCTCCCGAGAACTCGTCTTCCGCGAGAATTCAGCGCTCGAAATGGGATCGAGCTCGCCACTGGCCGAAGTACCGGCCATCGCAGCCACGACGGCTGATGGTGGGATCCCTGCCGTCGACTCCTGCTGCTCCTGCTCGGCCTGCCCCTCGACGTCCTCGTCAGCTTGACCAGGTCGAGCTTCATCTTCCGGCGCTTCACCTTCGTCGATTGGGACGACCTCGTCCGTGTCCTCATGCCCCTTGGTCGCATCCTCCATGTCGAGCTCCCCCTCAGTCTTCATGTCGAGGAGAGCCTTCTCCATGATGTCCAGCTGC